TAAGTCTGCGTTAAAATTGGTACCATTATCTGACGCAATCACATTAGGAATTCCGGTCCTGGAGAAAATCTGCAGCAACGCGTCGCAGGTAGTTTTTGCCGTCAGACTGGTTAATGGCACTGCCTCGGCCCATCTAGTATGCTGGTCCACCAAGCACAAAATATATTTATGCCCCTTCGAACTAGGAGGATCTATAGGTCCGATTAAATCTACATTGACAACCTGAAAAGGTAACCCTGGTCTTGCTACTGGAGTAATTGGCGCTCTGTCCTTCACTTTCACTGGCTTTGTTAATTGACAACTTTCACATGATTCGCAAAATTCCTGGACATCTCTTTTCACGTTTTCCCAATAAAAGGAATAACGAATCCTCTCTAATGTTTTTTAATTCCCATGTGTCCTCCAAACACTGATGCATGCGCGAGCTCTAGAATTTCATTCCTTCTGCATTTAGGGAACAACTAATTGCTCTGCACTTCTGTCCCAAAATCTTGTCCCGATGAAAAAGAAAACCGTCCCTCACAAAATAATTTCCTTTATCCATTTTCGCTCTTTCCCACATCTTAGACAAGTCAGTGCATTCTTTCTGTTGCTGACGAAACTCCGTTGTCTGAGATAAATTAGTTGTTTTCTCCACTAAGGGCGCTCCGACATCTGGGATAGCAGCTACGTGGCTTTGAATGTCCGTTTCTAACTTACCCTGAGGTGTTTCTGCCTCTCCCACGTTCGAGGAATCCTTCGATTCGTAGAACCAACCACTGCTACTTCCGTCTCCGTTGAACTGTCGATCTTTACAAGTGTTTTCGCCCCGTAACATATATAACACCTGTGGGGGTAATAAAACATCTTCAACTAAAGATTTCGCCACCGCGCAAAGTATCTCCTGATGCACATTTGTACCCTTTCCATTAATTAGTGCTAAAGGTAATTTTACTAACTCACACCTTCTCGGCGGTCCAAAAATCCCCTTCAAATAAATTGCCGATCCGCTTCCAGATCTAAAATTTGGAATTATACTTTCCTTTACAACCGTTATCTCACTGCCAGAATCAATTAATCCGTTACTTATCCGACCGTTTACACTAACCTGCACTCTATCCAATTTGCATAACTCCTCTTCGATTGATTGTCTAGAAATTTCCTTTCCAAAATGTCCCGCTTTGGCAACAATAACTCTGTTCTCTTGAGTTTCGATAACCTCTCCACTATCTACTGCACTTGCTCTGTTCACTTTCGCAAATTTGTCCTTCGTATTTTTATTTTGAGGGCAATCACGCTTAAAATGTTCTCTTGACCCGCATTTGTAACATGCGAAATTTTTCTGAGGAGAGTTTATTTTGCCTCTATTTGACACTGTTGAAGCCTGCTTCTCTGGACCAAGTTTATAGCTTTCTTTTGGCTTTACTTTAATCCTCTCTGGTGATAATCCCTCTTTAATATCATTCTCTTTCCTATAACCCTTAGCGTAAGATTTCCCCGTAGCCGAAAAAAACATATCGCATTCCCTCGCTAACTCCTTTGGTTTCCACCAATTTTCACCTTGCTTAATACCAATATGAGTAGCAGTTTCCGTATCAAGCGTTTCCATTAATCTGTCCGCAACTACTAACTGATTGACAGTTTCCAGATCCGTCGCTCCCCTCAATTTGCAGTAATAACTCCACATAGAATTTAATCTTGTAGCAAACTGAGTAAAATTTTCATCCGGGTTCCTTCTAGCCCATTTAAAATTTTCCAAACAAGCCTTAGGTGATGGTTCGTATTCCCGAAGTACTATGGTTTTCAAAGCCTCGTAATCCTCGTACTGTTCTTCCTCTAAATAAGTTAAAAGATGCGCAGCTTTGTCTCCTAGCAAACACATTAACACCTTAGATTTTAAATTATCCGCTACTTTCTCACTCGCGAGGGCCTTTTCTAAACTGTTAAAAAAATAATTCCAGCCTTCTGACCCTGCGGGAACCCTCACCGTCAGCAATTTTATAGTTTTCACAATTTCATCCAAACTTTTAACTCTGGGACTCATTGTCGAATCCACCGGACCTTCCGAATTTAGACTCCGGTTTTCCGCTTCGAGTCTTAATCTTTCTAATGCTATCCGTTCGCTTTCTATGCGTAATCTCCCCTCGGCTAGCTCTATATTTTCTTTCTCTTTCCTCTCGGAAATGATCGAAGTTAACAGCTCTTTAACTACATCCTCTTCGTAATTTTTACTTCCCAGAATGATATTTTTTAATTCGATCATTTTTAAATCATCCGAGACCTCTTCCCCTAATTCATCGGCCAGAAGTACAAGATCGGCCTTCTTTCCTTTCATTAAATATGCCATAATGAAATATTAAGACAATATTCAAAGCAATAAAATCAAAAACTTCACTGATAATTACTATAACATAAGTCATAAAGTATAAATACAGCCACTTATTTTTGTAAAAGAGATATACAAAAATCAACCAGTTATTCTAAAAAATTATTTTACCTACTAAAATTTAAATATACAAGCATATACGCACTCTAATCAATTATCTGAGCTTTTACATACTTTATGAGTTGATACAAAAAAATGACATCTGTCAGTTAAATGTTACAACAATCCTTTTAACAAATTTTAGTACTTTAGTACCTCAGAATAACTTTACATTTGATATGAAACAGTAATAAAACCGTAAATAGTATTTGCAGTAAGAAAAAATATCACTGAAAATTACTCTTCACTAAATACACAGTTCCCTAAACTTATTCATACGACAAAAACACATACAAAAGTTTACATACATAAAATATATATATAACACTTAAATTCTACCGAGCTTCCACCATTTCCGGAAGCTCCAAAACCAGAATTTCAATTGACCTGTGTTATGATACCCCTAAACCTTTGTATCCTGACGCAGAATAATTTTAAACTTAAAGAATATAACTTAAATAAACTTAAAGAAAAGTAATTTAACTTCAGATAAAATATTCTCCTACAATTTGCTTTACAATCTTGCACCTTTTAGTCGTACCCAAACAAAAAAATAAAATACCCTGCATCCGATCGAATAGAGAACTAAAAAAAAAAATCAGTACTCACCCCTGTGATGAAGCATTTGATCGCAAAGCTGCCACCATTGTAGTTGACTGTGGTAGTCGTGCCGAGACAGATAAGCATCGTTGTGTTAAACCGTAGCGTAGGGTTCAGTTGCTTCACACATGTCACCGTCGATCGACGCATAGATGACACCCATTTTTTGTTTGTTTAACAATAAACTTTAATAAGTAAACAATTCTTGATTATTATACATTATATGTACAAGCATGAATAGGTAAGTCCGGCATGGTCTCCGCCGGATGAGAAAAAACAATCTCTCCATGACGAAAGAAAATGGCGATTCTCTCCCCCGCCAAAAAAAACTTCGACCATCCCGTCCGACAACCAGGGTGCCAAGTCCTCTTCGCCCCCCTCGTCTTTTTGTTCGTCCTTTCTCCTTCCGTCCAACGAACCACCTCTCCGTCGGACTAATTATTTCGCTGGCTAGTCTTTTCCTTCTCCTTCTCGGGTTATGGGCATTACAATATCCACAATGGTTATTACAGTCAAAAGTCGTTAATCCGGACTCGTCGGGACTTTGGCGATTCCGGATTATAGATCATCAGTTTAAATCTCGTAAGATGGCATGCAGAAATTCTAAAATTAAAAATATGAAACCGTAATTTATAAAATAAAAAACAATTATGATCTAAAGGGTATCAAAAGTTGCAAAAAGAAAAAGCTTAATACTTATTTGTTTACTTTATTAAACATTTCTTTCAATGTAAGTTGTTTAAGTTTTGCTTCGTTTCATGTGATAATACTTTCTCTTTAATTCTATTAAACAGACATAATTTCTTGTTCAGTTACAAAGTTCCGCTGTTCAAGTCCTATAATTGCTGTGTTGAGAACACCGACTAATTTGTCAATCGAAATTTTTTCGTTTTCAATAACCTCTGTTACTTTCTTCGCTATCGAAAGCAAATTATAATGACGTGGAACTTGTAACTTGTTTTAAATCATATCAAAGACAGAGCGTATCGAAATGAAATACTACATTTGGTAAGGAATTATAAGCCAAATAAAATAAAAACATTGCGCTGAAGATAAGGATAGTGCTGACAGATCAACTTCGAATTCATTACGGGCCCCCAGAGGCGATCCCCCCCGCCAAGCAGCGCGTGAAATTGAAAACAGATTTCGGATTTCAAAACATACTTTCGCTTTAGATCCTTTACATATTAACAAATATATATCGGAAATTCTATTTGATATAATCGAAAGTTTAAGCTTACTTTTATAAAATCGATCTTACAGTCTGCAAAAATTAATAAGCCGGATCCAATTCCAATTCGAAAATTAAGGAACAACGCAATCATCAACATTAACTGAAATAGATAATTAGATAATTTTAGCTTATACGTTCATTATACATAAAACGCGCACGCGAAAACGTATTCTGCACTTGCGCACACTCATATGCGCAGTCGTAAAAGGTCTTATGCGCATGTGTCAACGCGGCGCATGCGCAGAAAGTTTTTAGTTTTGAGGTCTGGATTATAGATCATTCCGAATTATGGGTGTCCAAATTAACGACTTTTGACTGTATTCAGTTTTGCTGGGGGGATAAATGCTCTTTCTTCGGAAGATTTGAAATCACTGCAGATTGATATCTCTGTGACATGATCCTTTATGATCATATGATTGACATCTGTACTATTACAGTTTTATATAAAAATGTAGAAATATTTTTCTTTTCGCATTTGTTCCTTCATCACAGCACAAATTTTAATGTTTACATCATTTTTTTAGCTGATGTATGTTTCCTGTTGTGTGTGTTGTTAAATTAACCTGTTCCAAAGTATGAATTATGTTCCATGAATAATTGAAAGTTTAGGCTAGAGAAATATGAATTTAAAAATATGTAGCAAAGTTCCATTTTTAATAATCTTGTATATTTATCTGTAATTGTTTTGAATAATTTTCATAGGGTTCATCTGCTGCTAGTTGGGGAGGTTCATCTGCACCTACTGGCAGTTCTGCATACAGTGGTTATGGTACTGATCAGTATGGGTCAAGCCAACAGCAGTATGGATATGGACAACAACCTTCTGCATCCTCATATTCAGCAGGAAGTAAGTCTTACTTCTAGGAAGTTTTCTTATTATATTAATATAAAATAAGAATTATTTGCTGTGGGCTTGACAGTGAATAAGTATTGTGCTGCTGTAATCAAATACTGTACCAAACATTGGCATTGCACGATTAGTACTAACAAATTATTCTTAATAATGTGTTATTTTTGGCTTGATTGATTTTTCACTATGATTATAGAATTTATGAAAAAGTGTCAATGTTAGTAACATTTTAAGAATTTTTATATCAAAGTTTGAAGGTTTTAAATAAAAATAAGTAATTGTTTTAAGAGGTAATATTACTTACTTCATTGATGCATAAGCTCAATTTATTTTTACATTTAATTTAAATTAGCTATAAAAATAAGGCTTAAAATGTTACGTCGGGGGAAAGTAAGTTAGAAGTTTTCTGCAATCATTGATTGAGCCTCATATTAGTTAAATATCAAGTCATTTGTTTCTTTATCTAATGAGTTATAGTAAGTACTATTACTAACAAAAGTAATCGAAAATATATAAATCTTAATTTACTGTATTGTCCATATTCTCATACGGCATACTGTAATAGTTTCTATAAATTCCTTCTATATGTGAAGCCAGCGATATTTTCAGGTAAAAATGAAACTTTGAGTGAGTGAGGGAGGGAAGGAATAGCTCTTTGAAATTGATTGCAATTGCATATAAAAAATCTGATCTGGATACTAAATTACTTCCTTGAGTGCTTATTAAATTCTGCACAGTTAACAAGTATAAAATTTTCCCAAATATAAATACAGGAATCAGGAGACTGCATTAAAAGTTAAATTTCATTATTTGCCCAAAATAGTGTATGTTTTTTAATTTGAAATTGCCAAAATATAAATATTTTGTTCATGTAAAACACTTCTGTAATTAGAAGTATATATCTGTAATAAATTATTGCAAAAATAAATAATTACATATGTGAATACACTTTTGTTACTTCGGTATAACTATATTTGACGGTTCCCCTTTGGCGATTTTGGGCGGTACATGGACACAGTTTATACAATTCTTTGATTTGTTATTTTACCTTTGTAGAAAAAAATCGCTGCTAAACAAAGCCCAAATAGCAAGTAAGCGAAATGCTCAAACTCGGTCGGTATCCATGTACCCATCGACCTATTTTCACTTTAAAAAAATTGCACAAACTCGGCATTGCGAACAAAAAATATATAATCTCAAACTGCGTTTTAAATCAAACAATAAAATAAAATAAAAAAGCACTATGCAAAGGAAATAGCCACCTACCTTATTTAGAAATTTCTTTGTCTTCAGTCTGTGGCACACAAAATTCCTAAACAGCATCCAAAAACTTTCCTCAAACCATGTTCCCTTTTTAATGGAATGCTTTATATGGTGACCATTTGAACCTTTCTTGCGACAAAGCCATCTGAAAGATCTTTACGTTCGACCATAATGCATTTCCCTTGTACAAACAAGGCATTTATAATTGCTACATAGTAAACCTTCATTTACACACCAGTCAATTAATGCTTCCCCCCTCTCTTCGTCTCAAATCCTATAGAAATTTCAAATTAATCTTATCACATTCAACCATTTTATAGTGTAAACCACAAAATAAGCAACTTCCTATCCAACACATAAACAAACCCTTACAAATCTTTTCCGTCAGTCAAATTCACGCAACCAATTACGTCAAAATAGGGTTTTCAAAACATTCAACTACTCAGGTTACCAAAAATGAAACAACAACTTGGCGATAATCCAACGGGCACCCTTTACTCAGGTTCTCCTAAATGAAACAAACACTTGTCAAGGGCACCGTCAAATGTAGGCTAGCCATTACTTCCAATTTCAAAAGATGAGGGAGATGCGTAACTAGATGTTACAGCGGTCCCATGTACATTCAATGTTCTGTGCTAATGTTTTGAGTTAGTGATATACATATGTATAGACATCACAGGCGTGGGCATTGTACAGTCCATTTCAAAAGAAGAGTCCTTTATTCTGTCCATATATACTGAAGTTGTGCAAAAAAGTAGTCGAAAGGAATTCGGGAATGGTTGAAATCTGAAACTTTTAGGGTAATTTTTCTCAATTATCCTACTTTGTGCTAGGAAGTAAAAAAAAAAAAAAAAAAAAAATAGTGGCTGCTTATTTCTTAGATTGATTTATAGTTCCTGAAGTTTTTCTATGCCTTTGTAATAGTGGGCAGAAATTGGTGCATGATTACTAGTCATTTCTAATGCTAAATTGTAAGTATATAATTTACAGGAAAATGTATTTAGCATGATGGTTATGGCAAGAGATGAGAATATGTGTTTAGAATGCCTATAAACTGCCTGCAAAGAACTTCTCATTTCATATTTTAATGACTCATTTAAAAATAAAATTATGGCTGTTTTTTCAGATTTCTTGCAATTTTCAAGATAGAATTTATTCTTAGTTTGATCACTAATTGGTGTTGCCAGCAGTGATGTATAAAGATAGTGAGAAATTGTCTTAATACAAGATTGTGCATTTTCAAGTGCTCAGGAGATAAGCTATCAGCTAAAGAATACATGTTAATTACTGTGGTCATGTAGCTTTGAAATAGTGGTAAACATATATATTTATGGGTTCCACTTGTCAATTTTTGGTGGTACATGGATACCAAATTAGTGCAATTCTTTGACTTGTTATTTTGGCCTCTGTGTAGAGGTGGTTTTTGTACCTCTACAAAAAAACAAAATAACAAGTCAAAGAATTGCACAGACATAGTATCTATGTACACGTTGACCTATTTTCGCTTAAAAAAAATCAGAGAATTGCACAAACTTGCCATTGCTCACTTCCTTGACTTCGTCCATGTACACATCAATCTGTTTTCACTTAAAAAGTAAAAGTAGCACCCACTTCTACAGTAGAGCGAGCCAAACAAAAAAATGCATAATCTCAAACATTTTAAATCAAACAATGAAATAACATAAAAAAGGGAATTCATCTTATTAATCTAAGCACTACACAAAGCAAATATCCACTTACCTTGTTTAGATATTTCTGCATCTCCAGTCTGTGGCACACAAAATTCCTCAACAGCATCCAGAAATTTCTTAAAATTATCTAAACTAGAATCCGTATATCCGTCAAAAATATCCTCCATAGTGCTGGACTGGACTGTCTTTGGCATTTCTTGCGGCAAACCCATTTAAAACCATCTGAACTATCTATGCATTTGCTTCCTACAAACGGGACACTTATAATGGCTGCTAAGTAAACCTTCATTTATACACCAGTCAATTAATAAGGTTTCCGTAACATTCAACTACTCTTACCATAAATGAAACAACAAATTCGCAATAAAACGAGGGGCACCCTTCAGTCTACTCTAATCAAAGTAGTTATTCATTTTGGAATATAATAATGTTTGATATTTTCATATTTTAAATGATTATGTATTTATTTTTAATAATTATTTCAGACTGCTGCGAAAGGTAAAGTTAAATTTGCAAATCCCCTTATTCTCATCTTGGGTCTTATCTTACAATCATGTGCATAATGAGCACGATTGCAAATGATGGGAGGGTAACTACAGCTTAGAAGTGCCTTGTGTAAAATAAGAGATTATGGTCAGGAATGGTATTTTGTGGAAGGTGGGTGGGAAGATATACAGCAAGTGCAATATGGCAAATTCAGCTGATAGCACATTGAAGAGTTGTCATAACTTAGCAAAGTGCTTGCAGTAGCATTTACGTCTAGCTGAAATTTTGACAGTTCAGTGCATCATGTTTGAAAATGTAAATGCATTAACACGTTGAGCGCGGCGCCAATCCCTGGGGACCGACAGCGAACTTTTCGTTTGGCTGTCGTCGGCCCGTGAGACCAACAGTATTAAAGTTAAAATAGTCTTAGTGAAATGTGATCAAATTTAGTTTTAATGAAATGTATTGAAACATTCTTAAAAAAATACGGCTTAGCTCGCTGCTGGCTGAACTGAAAGAACAGTAAATTTGGCACCACGCTCAACGTGTTAAGGTTATTTAAAAACAACAAAGCACACAAGGGTCGTCTCCCCAAATGGATGCCTCTGCGGGAAACCTTCTAAGCAGAATAGAGTTATATTAATTTGACTCTTTCACATAGATAGAGACTGAATGTTTCCCTCAAACATTTGAAATGCCCATGTATGAATCTATTGGATAGGATTTTCTTCACCCTGCCGAATGAATGTTACAGCTTTAACAATAACCTACTTAAGTGATCTGATTTATAGATCTTTGTGCAGTTTCGCCCTTGTCCCCATAGGACAAGATTATAGCATCAATAGCTAAATGCTAAACAAAGTGAAAGTGCATTTAGATTGGAGAGCTACTTTAGTCGCTTTAAAAGGATTGTTCTCGTGTCATTTAAAACTTCTGAACCCAATGAGCCATACCGTAACATGGTGAGGAAAATCACCAGGAAGGAAATGGACTCTGGCATTTTGTTGACTTGCTAGTATCGGAATACACGGGAGACTTTGTAGTGACTTGCTTGCTGTAGCGGTCCTGTGTACAAAAATTAAACGTTCTTAGACAACTTGTGTGTGAGCTATGTAAAATAACATGACACATGAAAAACTCTTCTGAATCCATTTTACGATCTGTTTTGGTCCTGCATTCGATCTCTGCAGATATAATGCCAGAGTTGCCAACTCTCCAGATTTAGGCGGAAGATTCCCACTTTTCGACCGCTCTCCCGCCAACCCGATTTACAATATATTTCTCCCGACTTTCTTATTCTTAAAATTTCTCACGATTTTTATGGAACTTGGCTTAAGGGGACAGTACACCTTTAACAATCCGAAAATGTTCAAAATTTGACCAATGTTTCTCATTTTTTTAAAAAACAACTATTCCAGTTATATGCATAAAACTTTCAGAGTATGTAGATCCATTATTTATAATAAAATAAAAAAATAATTAATGAAGAAAATTTAATATTTAGATACTTAAAAATTATCTTAAATAAAATTATGTTTTCATTTTTCGAAAATTCAA